ATATATATATATATATATATATATATATATATATATATATATATATATATATATATATATCGTCAAATATATACATATATATATACAGGAAACCACAAAAAGGTATGGCCGTTCGCCCTAGCAAATGGCCGCCTAGCTGTTTGGGATCCTCAGAGACTTTACGCAACGCACCTCACTTGTTTCATTAATGAGACGGAAAGAAAGAAAGAAAGAAAGAAAGCAGCAAGCCACTCACTTTGCGTCTACTTTCAACTCTAATTTGCTGGATTGATAGATGCGGGTTACCTTTTGGTGCGACCCATATTGAAAATTAAATTTCTTGACTGTTCATAATTTGTGTCGTACGTCGGAATTTTGATTGTTTGGTAGGTAAGAAATTTGACCAACTTTTTCATTATTATTTACGCATTTGATTATTATTTTACTATTTTATATTTCTATTTATTTATTTCGAAAGTAGAAGATTATAATTGTTGACTAAATTGGAATTCTGTTTGTTGCCTGATTTGACTGTTTACCATCTCTTAATAGAGAATAAGGAGGACGCGCCAGATCAACTGCCAGCTGTTCTTACTCAGATGATGGATACTCTCATGGGAGAGATCGGGTATAAGGAGGACTTTCTGATCATGGCACGGGACTGCGTCACGTGTTCGCCTGCCCGGGTCAGTATTCAGCCACCTACTGGCAGGCCCCATAATTATAATTATAATTATAATTTATAAGTATAATAATGTAATTATTATAATTATTACTGTGCGTGGCGATGACACTTATCATGGCCTTTCAGTTCAGTATGGGGGTGAGTGGACAGGCTTGATGCATTCGTCAAGGTGATGGAGTAACGACGGCATGACGGCGGTGACGAAGGAGGCGGAGGAGAAGAAGGAGGTGGAGGTATATTTATTCTGGGTACATTTTAGGGACACGATGGGGAATTTGGCACACTGCTGACACAGAAAGGGTTAATTTGTCTCTTTGCTTGGGACAAGGATAGCAGGCTGAGTGCTTAAGGCACTGTGTTGTTCAGCAACACGTCTCCAGTTCTATCCTGTGCACAAAGTTTGGATGAAAGGAATAGTACCGAAAGAGTTAGTCCGGATCGGACATCAGGTCCGTGAGAATAGTCAAAGTGATGACTACTGTGAACACCCCAGAGATCAGATCCGTGAAGGATTCTTCGGAGAGAGTGAAGAAGAAGAGGAAGAAGAGGAGGAAAGAGGAGGAGAAAGAAGAAGCAAAAAGCAGACGAGCTGTGGTTTTGCGACTGCATCATTTGAAGCAAGAAGCATGCCATCTGAGTATCTACGCTCCTGAATCCGTTTTGCATCGTCTAATCAACAGATCGAACCACATACCCACATCCACACCCACATCCACACCCAAAGCCACACCCAAAGCCACACCGACACCGACACCCACGCCCACACCCACCCACCCACCCACCCACACACACACACACATACACACACTCACACAGAGGCACACACACACATACAGACACAGAGAGAGACAAAGAGAGAGATAGGGAGTCGGAGTTGAGAAGCCACTCAGCGTTTGGAAAATATGGAGACGGGTCCGGCGAAGGGTGGCAGGTCGAGGTTTTCGACCGAAGCGGCAGGGAAAGGAGGAGGACGAGATGGTGGTCCCCAGGGAGGAGGAGCAGCAGCTAAGCGACCTCTTCCCAGCGCGCTGAAGATTCCTGGAGCAGAGGGTTCCAGGAGCAGCACTCCTGCTGTAGGACTTCCACGTCCTAAGTCGGTCAGGCTCGCTGTCGATGGGCCCCCGGGAAGTACCTTTCCCACTGCGCAGTCTCCACTTGCGCCTGCTTCCCCTGCTTCCCCTGCTCCTCCGTCCCAGCCTGCTGCAGGTTCACCCTCCTCTGCGCTCGACCCCCAACTACGTAGCAGAGGTACCACCACAAGTCAACCGGACTTGTCCATCCTCTCCACCCCCGCCACTTCCCAGAGCTCCCGCACCAGCCGCACTGGAAAAACCCCCAAGCTACCCCCCGAAGAAATCCACAACCGTCGTGCCAATGTCTTGGTCGACATGATAAGGACCTTCTTGAAGGCCATGCGGATCCCGGCCCGCACCTTGACCAAGAAGGCCGAGAGGGCCCAGGAGAAGGAGAGACTGATTGCAGCATGGACGGAATTCCTCACCAACGTGGACACGAGATTCTCGGGCAAGAAGTATCGGTATACTTTGGCAGAGATGTGGCATGCAGTCCAGGCCAAGCTGACAGAGAGGGAGCAGAGGTACTTGGCCGGGATCTTGAAGACCACAGGACCCAAGTTCTTTCCCAAAGACTACGAGGAGAAGCTCAAGATGCTCAAGAGACAGATTGCTCAAGTGTCGGCAGGAACCATCTATCGACTGCCACGTCAGCTCATTCCTAACGGGAAGATAGTCAAGGACTTGAGGGATCAAGGGTGGCCTGCCTCAGACCTGAAGAGGGCTGGGTTCTCAGTGAAGGAGTTGCTTGAGGGAGGATGGACTTTGAAGTCCCTTCTGGGAACAGGGTTTACAGCGCAGGAGATGAAAGCGGCAGGAATTTCAGCGTTGAACTTGAAGGAAAGTGGGTGGGGATTCTCCACACAAACTCTGAGAGACGCAGGATATCAAGACTTGGAGCTGCGAGATGCGTGTTATGAGATACCGGAGGACATATTCGCAGCCATGCATGTGCACAGGCTGGCCAAAATAGTGCCCCGCAAAGGGCAACGCGTTAGGAAACGCCCAAAGCCGCAGGTAGCCGTGAAGACCCCAGTCTCTCTCTGGAGATCAAACACGTTCAATATCCCAGCACTGCCTGGACCACCCGCAAGTGCACCGGAGAAGCAAGAAAAGCAGGAGAAGCAGGAGAAGCAAGAGAAGCAGGAGAAGCAGGAGAAGCAGGAGCAGCAGGAGGAGCTGCAGCAGCAGCAGGAAAAGAAGGACAAGCAGGAAAATCAGGAGCAACAGCAGCAGCAGCAGGAAAAGCAGGAAAAGCAGGAGCAACAGCAGCAGCAGGAAAAGAAGGAAAAACAGGAAAAGCAGCAGGAGGAAAAGCAGGACAACCAGGAGAAGCCGGCCTCAGCAGCATAACAGAAGAAAAGGAAGGACAAACAGAATAAGCCACAGAAGCAGCAGGAAAGAAAGCAGGAAAGAAGTGGGGGAAAAAAGAAAGAAAAAAAAACAGGAAAAGCAGGGAAAACAGACCTAAGCAGCAAGAGCGGACAGAAAAGGATGAGAAGCAGGAGAAGCACAGGAGAGGCAGGCAGGCAATAGGAGCAACCTCAGAAGGGAAAGGAGGACAGGCAGGATAAGCAAAGGAAAAACAGCGGCGGAAAACAAACAAACAAACACAAACAGGAGAAGCAGAAAATTTAAAGCAAAAGGACACAGAGGAGAAGCAGAAGGAAAAGGAGCAGAAGCAGGAAAAGCAAGAGAAGCAGGCCTAAGCGAAACGAGGGAAAAGGACAGGCAGAAAGCAGGATAAGCAAGAGCAGGGGCAGCAAAAGAAGAACAAGCATAAAAAATCAGGAGCAATAGAAACTGCCAACTGGCCCAGCTCAGTTGGTACACCCTTGAACTGTCGAAATACCAACCTGAATTCGAACTCCACCGGAAGTAAATCAGTAAGCAGCAGCAGCAGAAAAAGAAGGACAAGCAGGACAAGCAGCAGAAAAGGACAAGCCTTAGGAAGATAAGGAGAAGAAGTAGAGATGGCACCAGGAAAGAAGGAGAAGCTGGAAAAGAAGCAGGAAAATAAGGAGAAGCAGAATATATGCAGTAGTAGGGAAGGCCTCGGTGACATCCGTCTTACAATTGGAGTGATACAGAGAAGATTAGCATGGCCCCTGCCCCCAGAATAGAAGGAGCCAGGACCATAAGGCCCTGTTTAAAAAAAATAAAAATAAAAAAAAATGCAGTTACTGTACAGTAACTAGTGAAGTAAAAGTATTCTCAAGTAACCACCAGTAGCACGCAGAGGAAGGATAAGCCCCACTGGATGTGGGATAGAGGGAAAAGAAATAGATGAAGGAAGGCCTCCATTGCAATGCACTGGAGGGTCATATACCTGGCCTGGGCTTCTGCCGATCCAACTGCAATCTGACAGAGGCACTGGAACAATCAAGGCAAATTCTAGGTGCACCTGAGAAAAAGAACACACTACTATACTATAATCACTAACTACAGGTTGTCCATGATTAAAATTATTAAAAAAAAAAAACAAAAAAAAACACGGCCTTGAGATATTGTCATCGACGGGCCCCCCATGTAATTCACAAAAACTGTTTCATTCATGTCATTCCATCACCATTTGGAGTCGAACTTGGGGTTTGTATTTCAACAGTTCTTGGGTGTACCCCAACTGGACTACCTCCTTGGTGGAATTTCAAGATTGTGACTCTCAAAAAAAAAAAAAAAAAAAAAAAAAGAAAAAGAAAAGAAAAGAAAAGAAAAGAAAGTGCCTGGAAGAGTAGACCTCTACAAGGTGCTTTTGCGTTGGCGATCGTGCACACCTACATTTTAACAGTTAAGTTACAAAATTGAAAACTCAGTCGCTGGCGATGAATGTGTGGGCGATCATGGCGCACAGATACAATTTAACAGCTACAGATTTGAGAACTCAGTCGCATTTGTGGGCAATGTTATCCTTCCTTCTGTGTCTCTTGAAGCCTGAATAATATTTTTTTTAACTTTTAAAGTGTTTTGTCTTTTTCAAGACAATAATAATCTCAGAAAGTCGGACGCAAATTTCGCTCTAAGACTTTGATTAATGTCCTTGGACTCGTCTTGGGTCATGACAGACATGTTCAGTCATTTTTTGCCATCACAGAAGTCTTTTGCCACAGGTGTTCGTTCAAGTGCACATGATGCCCAGTACCTTCTGTTCTAATCTTTTTTCTTTTTCTTTTTTTTTTCCTTAACAGCCCGAGTGGATGCTAGGGGCCCTGATAAGAACAAGCGCCACTAGCACTCCCGCAGAGGCTCCATCTATTGGTGGGGAGCAGCACCTGCTGGAAAACAGGTCCATTGTCACTGAACACTTTGGTTGCTCTTGGTGTACACAGAATTGCTCTCAGTCCGACACAAATTTCAGTTCTGACTGCTACTACCATGTCCTCAGGCATAACTTGCAGTTCTACCCCCTCCCCTCCCCTCCCCTCCCCTCCCCTCCCCTCCCCTCTCCCCCACCTCCTTCAAACATGCATAGTATATAGCTTGCCTAACCCCTGCTGACCCTTTTTGCTGTTCCCACTTCCATTTCCATGTGCCCACACCAACCCCCAACTGCAAAGAAGGGCATACTCACACCAGGAATGTTTTTGACGTAATTGCGGCCAGATGCATGCATTTCTTCTCTGGATGTAATGGCCTTCAGATGCATGCAGGAGAATCCACAATGCCCGTCAGATATGTTCAGAAAAGTTCTGGCATGAGTAATCTCCAAGACATAGGGCCTCGCTCCACTATTCTAGACTCCCGAGGTTTCGAGAGTAACGCCTCACTCCACTTACTTTAGACTGGAACTCGTGACAACACCCTTCGAGAGTTGTTAGAAAGCGCTCTCGAAGGGCACTCTCTATTTGTACACAGTTCACAGCCTGCAACGCTCAGGTTTTCTAGCATCCTCCCTCCTACCCCCGCTCCGGCCTCTTTTTTCGCGAGTGTGCCTCCTGCCCTGACCATCAGAAAGAGCTGGCGCTGTCATGTAGCGCTATAGAAGGGCTGTCATGCAGCTCTGAGAAATTTGTGAGTGCTTCTATAGTTCTTGAGCGATGGTTCTTTTTTCAAGAGTTCTAGACCTCTGACAGCTCTAGAAGCACTCATGAATTTTTTTCGTGAGTTTGGTGTAGCGGAGAGAGACACATATTAACCAGGATCCCAAGACTTTGCTCAACAATGTGTCCCGATTCAGCTCACGGAGCTGAGACTCCTCCGTATGTAAGTGGCGTAAAGCATGTAGTAGTTGCCATGGACCTCCCATGTTTACACTGAACATCAGCCACCGGCTCCTTCCTTCTTTTTTTTTCTTTTTTCTTCTTTTAATCCCCCACGTTAACAGATAGAAGTGATGGTAATTCCCAAAAAAAAAAAAAAAGTGATGATAAGAGCATACACTTCTACCTGTCTTGCAGGGGGCTCCAGTCTATTGGTGGGTAGCGACCCTGCTGGAAAGCGGGTCCAGCGTCTCCGTGTGTCTTGATTATGCTCGCAGAGTCGAGCCTCCTCCGTACGTAGGTGGCGCTTCCTCTGCCATTCTAACTGACCCCTGTCCATAATTCATGCAACTTCAAAATGTCTACCTTCCATGTTTACATCGAACATCAGTCACATGCTCCTTCCTCATGACGTGAGTGGAAGCCATGGTTTCATGTCTATGCATATGCATCCACCTCTAGATTTCGCTATTTCTGCAATAACCCCTTCAAAGGGTAACCTGCTGTGTTCTGAATCTCTGATTATCTCCGATTAATGATAACAAATATTTTACCTCTCACCCTCCCACTCCTCCCCTGACACCTTTCAAAATTTTTCGACGGATGCTCCCTGTGCTACCTTCTTTACCCGAATACGACGTACGACGTCGTACCGCATGATCCTACGGTCATGATCGCTCTGTATTTGGGGTATCTTACAGACTAGATGCAGCGATAATGACCCTACGTTGGTTTTTTTTTTTCCTTTCAAGAATTCATGTTTTCCTCTAGGTTGAAGCAAGCAGCACAGCAACACCCACCATACACTCACTCTCCCATTCCTCTTTTATTCAGGTGAAGAAGGCAGTTCCATGTTGTACTCTGCGTTGAAGCAGGAAGCGCAACAGCACCTGCCATGCAGTCACTCTTCCCCCGTTCCCTACATCGCACCCCTCCCTTTCTGTGTTTCCAGCCATAGCCATTTTCATCAGAGAGATTCTGAGACGTTAACTTGAACTAGATAAAGTACCCAAATGATTCCTGAGGTGATCCTCCTCACACTGGCACTCCCCTCCATGTACTTGCTAACAACAGGGGTGCAATCAGACTTGACTTCAACTTGACTTTCAACATGCATACATGCAGGTGCCAATGGCAGAACAACTTCCTCGGAGTAGGATCAGCAACAAGAGTGAGATGGCGCAGGGCGCCCACACAGAAAACTCAGAGTTATGGCCTACAGCCAGGAACTCAGCTCAAGTCAACTTGTCACATCTTGTGGCTATGGCGTCTGAGCGCCAGTCTGAAATTCCCACCTGCACACTGTAACCACCATCAGACTCACTCCACTCACACACACACACACGTACACACGTACTAGGATCTACCCTGAATGGACACGCACACACACACACACACATATACCCTATCCTCTACACAGGCGGCTATGGCCACCGTCGTCTCCCTCCTACTAGCGGCTATAGCCGCTCTCCCTCGTCCCCCTTCGGGCACCGACTCACCACCGGCGAACTTCAACACACAACTCACTTGGACAGCGCTTCCTCGGAGCTCACAGAGGTGCAGGCGAATGAATGAATGGCTGGTCGCTTAATTTATATTGTTTCGTTAGGTGGTCTGGGTCTGGGCGATGTCCCACTGCAGGCCCGTAGGATGTGCAGTCTCACTTGGTACTTGTTGGCTCGACGAGGACTGGGAGTGCTGACTGTTGTGCGCCTCAGCTGCCTGTCGCCTGTCGCTTGGGGCCTGCATCCTGTTTCCTGCTGCAAGTGTGCTATGGAGGACGATGGCGGGCTGGGAGGGTTGACGATGGCGACACACAGACGGCGGGGTCGACTTAGGAGAATGTGTGAGTGTGTGAGCGCGCGCGCACGTGTGTGTGTGTGTGTGTGTGTGTGTGTGTGTGTGTGTGCTGTCTCTTATACACATCTAGATGTGTATAAGAGAGAGGGGTGTGTGTGTGTGAGAGAGAGAGAGAGAGAGAGAGAGAGAGAGAGAGAGAGAGAGAGAGAGTGCAGATGTGTGTGATGATGTGTGTGAACACATATTGTGAACACCTCTGCACAGTAAAAACCATGCACCATACCATCACAACACTTCAGGAGGAGAATACGCATCTGAGTGAAGTCGAATCCAAAGGCAAGGAAGGGACAACAACGAAACACACGGGCCGCAGACACAAGACAACACATAGGCTAGAGGGCACAGGGGAGGGGGGAGGGCAGACAACACACAAGCAACAGACACGGCAGGAAACAAAAAAATGACCGAGGGCTGGAAAGCACAAGGGATATAGGACGGCAGACAACAACAAGCATACAAGGCAGGCAAATCAGAAAAAAGTAAAGTCCATAAAAGTTTCAAAGACCGAAAAAAAATAAAATAAAAACTGATGATGAAAGATTGTTTCGTCGGACTCGAGTTGCACCGACTCATGACGAGGCTGAACCCTCGACAATCTGCGGGTATCTCCGTATTAGATGGTTTGGGTCATGAACCCTTTGACCCTTGTTGAAGGCAGGTTGTCGCCAAGCGGAACATAGCAGCGGGCGGCGACCCTGTGAAGCACCAGGCAGCACAGTAGAGGCAACATGGCTGCACAACGCCAAAAACGACTGCAAGGAAAGACATGGCACGCAGCGCGGAAATACGGACAGCACGGCCGGCGGATGGGCAGCAAGGCAGCGGAGCAGCAAAGCACCAGGCAACACCAACAACACGGCCACACCACACAGCGAACACAGCAACTTGCAGAGAACCACATGCAAAGCAAGCGGGACAGGCAGCAAGGCGGCGGTGGTGCGCAGACGAGGCAGTCCACACATCCAACATGGAGCAAAGCAGCGCATGACCTACTCACATCACGATTGAACCCTGCAGACTGTTGGTTCCCACCACCCACTGAGCCAGGGAGTCACTCCGACGAGCATCCGTCATCACCTACAGGCAACACAAACATCCCGAACTGAGCGGCGCCCATAAGAGTGCAGTAGGCACTCCAAATGAGGAACCACCGACTGTTTGGCAC